GAAAATTTTGTCTTCTTACTACAGGGTGGTCCGAAAGTCTTGTCACCTTTTACCAAAAAGTAATGAGAACAAGTAATACAGTAATATAAGACACTGGATTCAACATATTCACTTTCATTGACGCTGTCATACATCGAGAAGGTCTGTATGAATAGCATCATTTTCATGTCAGCCATCTGTAAGGATGACAAGACTTTCGGGCCACCCTGTACATTATCTAAACTTCCCATTATAGAAAAATATCTCCAAAATGGTCAGTAATTAAATGCTGGGCAATTTACTCATAGATGAAGAGAACTGAAGCAAAGAAAATTTCATACAGAGTGACAAGACTTTCGGTCCATACTCTACAATGAAAAGTAAACACTTCTAAGAGCTACAAAGAACAGGAAGTTGTGGAAAGCTGTGACTGTCTACATCCTGAAGAGACACAGCACATATTAGAGGAAGAGAAGTGGTGTACATTTCGATCTTGAAAAAAAAAAAGATCTACAGTGTCACACATCGAGAAGGTCTGTATTAACTCCATCATTTTCGTGTAAGTGTGCTCGTGTCAGCCATTTGAAATAGAAAATTATGTAAGGGTGACAAGACTTTCGGACCACACTCTACAAGGAAAAGTTCGTTCAGACAATTTTATTAACTAGCATTCGTTTAGCCGTCATGTCATCGATAGAGACTAAAAAAAATTGGAATAGTGAATATAAAAGCAGCTAGTTTTTAACTTTAACGTGAAAATCGTAGGATGAAATTTTTGGCTTTCTTTATATGCTTTTTTTTCCTTTTTTTTTGTTTCATTTATCGAAAGAATGTCAAGGTGCGCCACGTCACATTGCAGAAGGGTGACCCCCGTTGAATCGGTTTAACTTTTCTTACATTGCCTCTCTTTGAATGATTTCCCTTGCGAGGAAATAAATCCTTTGCCTTTCCCTTCGTTATTTAATAATCATCAAATGGAAGCGACTTCGTCTTTCCTATCAAATCAGTCATTGTAAGAAGTCCTTTCTTCATATGCTTTCCTAGGTTACTAATGTAGCTTGAGATAGATAAGCAGGGTGAAGTCGCTAGCTACATACGTAAGTGCATAAAAAGAAACTGATTCATAAAAAATATATTTTATACTGATATACTAAAAGTCATATATATATATATATATATATATATATATATATATATATATATATATATATATATATATATATATATATATAAGGAAATAACAAAAGTGAAAAGTTTTCGTGTAACGTGTTTCGTCCTTTAGGACCTTATCGGACATTTTAAACTTAGTCCGATTAAATCCTAAAGAAAGAAACGTGTAACACGAAAACTTTTTTCCACTATGTCATATTTCCTACAATATTTCTTAATATATAAAATATGTATATATCGTTATCCCATATATATATATATATATATATATATATATATATATATATATATATAAGTGAACATTGAAGTCAAAACTTAGAGGCAACAGTCTGTTTCATGCTAGACGCAGGTAGCCTTCAATGTTCACTTTTTATATTTACACTCGCTCTATCTCTGATATTGAGCACTTTATCCCATAAATATAGCACACCTTAGAGTATATTTATATATATATTTATATATATATATATATATATATATATATATATATATATATACCCAATATAATTGGTGTATACGGAGTAAATTCCGATAACCAACAATTACTATTTTTAAAAGAGCGCTCAATACAGAGTAGAGCACATATAATTATTTATTTGAAAATTATAACATAAATATGTTATAAAATCACTACAAAAATAGCCATTTTGTTTCAACACCTCTGGTGTCTTATCAAATGATGATGTTAAATGTAGAATAAAGGGTTTTAAAAGGTTCAAATTAATTATCCACCCCTTGCAAGGGGAAACGCTGTTACATAAGTTGGAATGACCAATCAAAATACAAGTATACGAGAATTCAAAAATCTTGACAACGCATTAAGGTTATAATGACTATTTAATGCTTTAAAGTTGGGGTTATATATATATATATATATATATATATATATATATATATACTAACATATATAACCAGTATGTCTTTGACAGGGTCTTTCATTATTAGGAATTTTTGCCTTTCAATTGGAGCAGTTTAATTTTAAAGTTAGCCCACTCGAAAATCAATATTAGTTACAACAATTAGTTGCAACTGAGGCACATCCCCAACTCAGGCACATCCCCAACTCAGGCACATCCCCAAATTTTAACAATTTGAATGGGGGGCTCTGAAAAGGGAACTGTATAATAATAAATAATATTATTGTAATAATTTAAATTATTTATTTTTATTAAATTTTTATGAAAGATATATATCTAAGAACAGATAGTAAATAGTAAAACGTTGCTGAGGATTATAAATGATGTAGTGGAGAGCCATTGTCGCCAACAATTTTGTCTCAAAACCGGCAATGAAAAATCAATAAAAAAACAATAAAAAATTCATCGGATGAAAACTGTAGAAATGTATAAACAACATCTGATCACACACACACATACATACACACACATTTTGAGAATTATATATATATATATATATATATATATATATATATATATATATAGAGAGAGAGAGAGAGAGAGAGTAATACGTTGGTATAATCCAAGTGAATCCTATTAACACAATAAGAAATTTGAAACATTAAATATTAAATGTTAAAACTGACTCACCAAAAAGCGCACAATGTTTATTTTCTAAACAGAGCAAAATATTTCATACAGATGGAATTACGACACCATTAGTTAATGATCATTTTCACCCGCGTATTTTAAATTTTAAATTCACAGGATTCTTCACACTGTCAATGGGGGTAGACTAGGGAAATAAAAATGGCTAGAAAGGGAAAGACAGAAAGAGAGAGGAAGTAAAGGAAATAACCAGGGTGGGGAGTTAGCAAGGAGAGACTGGAACTAGTGTAATATAAGTGATGGTCAGAGGGGGAAAAGAGAGGGGATGGAGAGGTAGTAAGGGGAGGTAATTTAAGATATGGTATCGTGTTCGTCAAAGGGGAAGTGGACAGGAACAGGTAAGAACCAGAGGCTGACCTATTTAATAGTAATAATCCGAGTGAAGTTTGGTTCCACAAAAAACGCCCAGATATGAATGCAAACAATCTTAATTATAGAAATCATATAAAACAATAAGAAGTAAACTTAATGAAACGAAAGAGCGATAATTCAAAATTAATGATGTATTAAATTACCCATATCATAGAAATGGATAATAAGAAGGAAATCTTAATTTTTAATAAAATCCCACCATCGACAGTTTGAAGAATCCTATAAATTTTAAATATAAAAATTCGCAGATGAAAATGATCATTAACTAATGGTGTCGCAATTCTAATTCTAATATATATATATATATATATATATATATATATATATATATATATATATATATGTGTGTGTGTGTGTGTGTGTGTGTGTGTGTGTGTGTGTGTGTGTTAGATTTAAACTAAATGCACTGGGGTAGTATATGGCATTTTTAAAAACATTAATTAACTAGATAAAACAACTCTTGTAAGTTTTGTTTGTTTTTGTTTTTTTTGTTTTTGTTTTTTTTTTGTTTTGTTTTATGGCATATCAACCTCAATGGGTTATTTAATGACGACAAAATTTTTATTGTTGGTAATATTTTTTATCTATCTTTGGTCTCTCCATGTCTATCTGTCTTGCTTGGTCTTTTCATATCTATCAATCTATCTATCTATCTCAGTATATATTGGTTTGTTTTGCTTTGTGTTTTTTTTTTCTTTTTCAAAAATGTACGGTTGGTAATTTTTCCCAAAAACATTGCTGGTATTAAAACCTATTTTTACACTTTCATAGTGTTTTGACCCCTTTTGGGGAATTAACTATTTGCCTGTACCTGGGACCCTGATAGGTGTCAGCAACTTGAGTCAGAGTGGACCTGGGAACACCAGTAATTAAGAGGTGTTTCCACGGTCCTTAAAACCTCCTTATATATATATATATATATATATATAATTTATTGTGTACATTTAGGCAGCAATTTTTCATTAATGCATGTTTCATTAAATAATATAGACAAGTTTTGTCTATTTATTTTAAGTAAGTTCCTTTCATATTGTCTGATAAGCTTAATAACATTATCGTTGAAAGACGAAAGGAAATCACCATATTGATACATGTTTAAATTCAATCTAAGCTTTCGGCTTTCGGCTTACACAACCCATTATCAAAGATGACAATTTCAATAAATCAAACAACACACGGACGAAACAACAATGATAGTCCACCCTTGCTGCATGAATATTTCCAAGTAACGAGACGCGGAAGCGAAAATCGCGTCGCAGCTCGTGACGTCACACACACACACACACACACACAACACAACACACACATATGCACACACACACACATATATATATATATATATATATATATATATATATATATATATATCGAGTGTAACAGCAAAATTGTCCCGTTGTTGGATTGAGTTTTGAAATGACAAAAGTTATCTTACTGGAATTCTCTATTGGAATCTACTTTGAACAATAAGAAGCTCTAAGTTGAAATGATGATCCCTCTTTATGTTGTGACCTCCTGATCCAGTTTTCCTCTCTACTGTTCCCTCTTTTTTAAACATGTTCACCGCTATCTTGATAGTTCTTGAGTGCACTTTGAAGATTGAATCGAGAGTATGAATGTCGGTACCATTACTAAAGGCTTGAATGATCTTTTTCCTCTCACCATTGCTCAACTGGGAAGATATAGTGGGGCTGACGCAAAACGTTTTTAACCTGTTTTCTTTGCAGGTGAGTAACTCAATGGGTTTTTTTTTTCTGTGATTCTTATGATAAATAAGATGGCTAAAGGTCTTATATGAAAACCTTCAAAAAAGAAACTCACTAATAATGTTACTTTCTTCTTTCTGTCATCTTCCGGTCGGGTGATCGCTAGTTGGTTTGTTCAGAAGTATAATGAAGAACATTAACAAATGGGATTTTAAACTAAGATAGATAGATAGATAGATAGATAGATAGATAGATAGATAGATAGATAGATATAAACAAGTATGATGAGACTGAGATAGATAGATAGATAGATAGAAAGATAGATAGATAGATAGATAGATAGATAGATAGATAGATAATAAACAGATATGATGAGACTGAGATAGATAGATAGATAGATAGATAGATAGATATGATGAGGCTGATATAGATAGATAGATATGATGAGACTGAGATAGATAGATAGATAGATAGATAGATAGATAGATAGATAGATTTTGCAGTTGTTTTCTACAACTGCCGTTAAAATAATTTGAAAGAGAATCGGTCAAGATTATGAATTGATATCGATTTTTTGAAACATCCTGTATAATGACCCGATTCTTTTTAGCGCTTATCAAAAAAAGATTGAATGAAATAAATCTCTTGAAACCTCTATCAACTTACACAGCAGCCTCTTGCCGATCTTATCACTACGATGCCTTTATGGTTTCCATCTTCCTTTCAATGTCCAATTTATTATCCTTCTGATTATTTCGATGTTTTTCTGAAATAATAAAAGGTTCGAAAAAGTCACCTTCTAATCATTCGGAAATGTTCCTGAAATGCTTAACAAGCATAAACACAGATCAAATTCGATACGTTTGTTTCCCTTCGAACAAATTTTTTATTATAATGAAAATCAATGTCAAATAAAATCGTCATTATGGAGATTTCTTTATCCGATCATACTAAGACCAATAAAAAAAAAGATGGCGGATGTGAAAAAAATATAAAATAAAAGATGGCGGATGTGAAAATGTCACGTAAAAGGATTTATTTCGTTTGTTTTGCAATTTATAGCTTTGGATTTTTTATTTTTTTTATAAGATACGTTTTATTATCATAAGATATTCGTTTTTATTTATATTTTCTCTTTCTTTATTGCTGTCTCTTGCATTTGGACATCTCGAATTGATGTATGCAAATGACAAAGTGATGAGAGATATAACACTGACAAATGAATTTATTAGTGACACGATTATGTTTCGGCGTTTACTGTGATTTATACAGAAGAGCGAATTTGAGCGTAAGTGAGAAATAAAAGTGTTAAAAGATATTAACATAGATAGATAGATAGATAGATAGATAGATAGATAGGAACATATATGATCAGACTGAGATAGATAGATAGATAGATAGATAGATAGATAGATAGATAGATAGATAATCAGACTGAGATAGATAGATAGATAAATAGATAGATAGATAGATAGATAATGGTCAAACTGAGATAGATAGATAATGGTTAAATAGATAGATAGATAGATAGATAGATAGATAGATAGATAGAGATAGATAGATAGATAGATAATAATGGTCAAACTGAGATAGATAGATAGATAGATAGATAGATAGATAGATAGATAGATAGATAATGGTCAAAACTGAGATAGATAGATAGATAGATAGATAGATAGATAGATAGATAAGTCAAATAGATAGATAGATAGATAGATGGTCAAACTGAGATAGATAGATAGATGAGATAGATAGATAGATAGATAGATAGATAGATAATGGTCAAACTGAGATAGATAGATAGATAGATAGATAGATAATGGTCAAACTGAGATAGATAGATAGATAGATAGATAGATAGATAGATAGATAGATAGATAATGGTTAAACTGAGATAGATAGATAGATAGATAGATAGATAGATAGAGATAGATATGAACAGATATAATCCAACTTCTGTAAACGGGACAAGCATTCAAAAAGTTTTGAACAAAATTTGACATAAATGATATTTATAGATCTTGGCATTATATTGTGAATGTTTCCTTTTCTTTCATACATACATGCATTTGAACAAATTAAAATGGATTGAATGAATGATGTGTAGCGGAAGAGGCTAGCAGGTAGTATTTGCCGCCATTAGATTCATAGATAGAAATATACATTGATTAAAATGAGAAAGAGAACAAATGAAAAAGAAAGAAAGAAAAAAGAAAGAAAGAAGAACCAAAGAACATAAGAAATAAAGAAAAAAGTAAAGAAAAAAGAAAGAAAAGAATGGGAAAAAACGAAACAATGAATGAAAATGAAAAAAGAAAGAAAAGCAAAAGAAAAAGAAAGAAATGTAAAGAAAAAGAAAAGAAAAAGAAAAGCAATAAGAAAAGAAATGAAATAGAAAGAAATAATGAAAGAAAGAACGGAAAAAGAAATAAATTAAGAAAAAAGCAAAAGAAAGAAAGAAAGAAAGAAAGAAAGAAAGAAAGAAAGAAAGAAAGAATAGAAAAAGAAGGAAAGGAAAAAGAAGGAAAGAAAGAAAACTAATCAAAAGGAAAAATAAGGAAAAAGAAAGAAAACAGAAATAAGGAACGTCTGGAAAGAAAGAAAGAAAGAAAGAAAGAAAGAAAGAAAGAAAGAAAGAAAGAAAGAAAGGAAATAGAAGAAAAAAGAAAGAAAGAATCGGCGTTTAAATGAAAATCTTATGATATGGTACACAAGGTTGTCTCGTTAATTTAGTTACAACTGAACCGTCTGTTCGACCCCCACACTTTCTGCTTTATGCCACATCTAAGCTACGCATAGAAACTGCCATATGCTCACCCACTTTTCTCTCAAGCGCGGGTGATTTCTACATCGAGTCTTTTCTTCGTATTTCCGAGTCATCTATTTTTTATAATGATGCCGTAGACACCAACCATTATTTCACGAAATTAACTTTCACAACTTTTTCTCGCCACAGTCTTAGGTGATATTATTAGAGGATGCGGCAGAAACACCTCCCACATAATGGCAGAACATTAGTGGCCACGTTGTCTTCGTCTGGAGTAGTTGGAATAACATTGGGGTTGCTGGTGTTGAATAATTGAGAAAACTTGTTACAGCTTCATATCGAGTGAAGAACAAACTAGATACCAAGTAGAAGCATGCGAAAGCATGAAGAAGAAGAAGAGGAAGAAGAAGAAGAAGGATGAAGGATGAAGGTAGAAGAAAGAAGAAGAAGAAAGAAAGAAGGATGAAGGAAGAAGAAGGATGAAGGAAGAAGAAGAAGGAGGAGGAAGATGAAGAAGAAGAAGGATGAAGGTAGAAGAAAGAAGAAGAAGAAAGAAAGAAAGAAGAGGAAGAAGAAGGATGAAGGAAGAAGAAGAGAAAGAAGAAGATTGAAGAAAGAAGGAGGAGGAGGAAGGAGGAAGAAGGAAGAAAGAAGAAAGAAGAAGACGAAGGATGAAGGTAGAAGAAAGAAGAAGAAGAAAGAAAGAAGAAGAAAGAGGAGGAGGAAGAAGAAGAAGGAAGAAGAAGAAAGAAGAAAAAGGAAGAAGAAGGAAAAAGGAAGAAAGAAGAAGAAGAAGAAGAAGCCAGAAGAAAGAAAAGAAGAAGAAGAAGAAGGATTAAGGATGAAGGTAGAAGAAAGAAGAAAGAAAGGAGGAGGAGGAAGAAGAAGGATGAAGGAAGAAGAAGAAAGAAAGAAAGAAAGAAAGAAAGAAAGAAAGAAGGAGGAGGAAGATGAAGAAGAAGAAAAAGGATGAAGGTAGAAGAAAGAAGAAGAAGAAAGAAAGAAGGAGGAGGAAGAAGAAGGATGAACGAAGGAGAAGAAGAAAGAAGATTGAAGGAGGAGGAGGAAGGAGGAAGAAGGAAGAAAGAAGAAGACGAAGGATGAAGGTAGAAGAAAGAAGAAGAAGAAAGAAAGAAGAAGAAGAAGAAAGAGGAGGAGGAGGAAGAAGAAGAAGGAAGAAGAAGAAAGAAGAAGAAGGAAAAAGGAAGAAAGAAGAAGAAGAAGCCAGAAGAAAGAAAAGCAGAAGAAGCAAGAAGGAAGAAGAAGAAATAAGAAGATGGAAGGAAGTTAGAAAAAAGAAGAAAAAAGAGAAAAGAAAGAAACTGCAGTTAAAGACACAGAGAACCAGACGATAGGAAAAGCGCTGTATGATCTATCGTCGAAATAAGATATTCCAAACGGACTCCAGGAAGTTTTACAGGTGTTGTATAGGAATAAAATGTCGCTGCCGACATTTGAGTTTGAACATATATCGCCCGTGAGCAAACAAGGGCGATTCCATTATTAAATTAAGTAGACCACATGACCATACAGGAATCGCATATATGGGAGTTAACGTGTGTATAATAGCTCTCCATTTCTATTCTATCCTCTATTAATATACGAACCGCTATTCTCTATTCACTATACTATTTCTCTATTCGGATCTCTATACGGATTACTATTCAACCGAGTATTATCGTGCAGTACTATTAGTGCGACTGTTACTCGAAAGCGTCTGACACCAGTATTGTTCAACGGCGTTACTATAGTTTTATCTGCGATTACAAAGTCTCTACTACAACGAGCATTACGAAAGTGACAACGAGTATTTGTTGGCATTACAAAAGTGGCAACGAGTGTTCGTTGACATCACAAAAACATGGAAATTGAAAAAGCAGTTATAGATATCAAAAAGTCACCATCTGTTGAAAAACTGCAGAAATTTTGGGTGAATATTTGGAACTGCTGAAAGGAATATAACATCAATGAAGAGTGGAGACAACGAAAAGAACAAATGATGGATAAACCTCTACAAGAATGGTAAAATATAACGTAGACTAATGTTAGGCAAGCTCCAACGAAATCAAAATATTGGCAAAGATTCCAATAGTTTCATTAAAGGGATTCCTGGTAGCCCATGCCTTAAAGAAATACAAAAAAAATTGTACTCACAAGTACAGCTCACACATGATGAAGAGCTTTATGTAAAATCTGGGATCTTAGGTGTGTGTGTTTTTTGGGGTTTTTTTTGGGGGGGGCTTTTTTTCTCAGTGAAAATGTCATGAAGCTATTTCGGAACTTGGGTCTCTGGTTGGGACCCGGAAAGAATGAGTATACACTAGAAATCAAAGGGAATATTAATAATAATAATAATAATAATAATAATAATAATAATAATGATAATAATAATAATAATAATTTCTGTGATAATTACCCAGAAACACTAGATCATCTTGTATCAGGTTGCACGGTATTGGCACTCACTGAATATAAAACCCGACATGACAGAGTGGGCCAATATCTGCACTGGAAAATCTGCAACTTCTACGGGAAGGGAACTGAAAGGAACTGGTATGAACGCCACCCAGACCCGGTTACGGAGATAGGACCCGTTACAATTCTATGGGACTGCACAATACACACTGACAGAACAATCAAAGCTAATCGCCACACATTGTTATTAGAGAGCGCAAACAAATCAAATGCTTCCTTATTGATATGGACTGCAAGGTAACTTTGAAGATCTTCAAAAACGCTATCAAAATACAAGGACCTTGAAATCAAAAATATGGCACATGGGAACATCAACAATCCCTGTTGTTGGAAGGTCTTGTTGAAAAAAAAATGTATCAATATTGTGATTTTCTTTCTTTTTCCAGTCTTCTTCCCAAAGCCTCGATCACGATGACTTGAGTTGTCATGTGACTTCGTGTTCTTACAAATACTTCCGTCCACCCAGTTTCACTTACAAGGCTTGGGTCAACACGTGGTATGGTGTTATCCCCAGGCCAATAACATCAAGGAGCCACCCTCCTCACCAATTGACCATGGTGGGATTCGAACCCGTATTCGATGGTCGGAAAGCGAATTATTCAGCCACGGGTCCATATACTTGTCTAAATAGTTTATAGATTAATGGTAACACCGAATCCATTATTTTCCATTTACACAATGGTTGTAAGCAAAAACAAAACCCCAAATTACGGACTCGAGAAGTTTCCCTTTTTCATTTAAAGAATTTGCTTCACGGCTTTTCTTTTATAAATCTGAATTGCTGACACGCTTGCTCTTTGAGATTATATTCAAATAAAACGTAGTTTTTTTTTTCTGGGCTTCACTGCGGATAACTGAAACAATCGACAAATAAACCGTGGATAAGCGAGGAACATTGGTATATCTAAAAGCTTGAATCGATCAACACTTTTAGGTTCTGAAGCCATGGCGCAGACACAAATTTGGAATGATTTGCTTCAGACTTAATTCTAATTAGCCCGTGCCTCGCCTTACAGCGTCATTATCTCTAGGAGATAGACTCCAAATAGAATTAACGAAAACTTGTGTTCTTATGAGTTTCATCAGCCCGGAAAACGAATGGAACGAACTTTCTCCCGTTGCTATCATCCTGTCGCGACTCAAATGAGGCCATACCTTGGCATCTCACCGTTTGAAGATAAATTAAGAGTGTGAAGGACAGAAAGAAAAGACGTTTGGTGACAGATACGCTTTTAATCATAGCTTCTAAGTACTTTATTGCCAGCGTCCTTCCTCCTGAGCCTGCTATATTGCAGAGATAATTATATTATTACCATCGATGCCAAGGATCCAAGTTCAATCCCAAGTAAAAATTGCTAATTTTGAATACAAAATAAGCAGCTTCTTGAAAGATTCGAATAATACAGTTCTCTTATCATTGTCCCAAACCACATTTATAAATCTACCATTCATCCATCCATTGAAAATTACTACTATATCTAGTCTAATGCTCCTATTACATATCTCGAGATTCTCAACCAAAACCAAAGGGTCTGTAATGTTATCGGTCCTGATCTAGCATTTCGGTTTACGTACTTACCCACAGGCCATGGCATGGCTCCCCTGTGTCTTTTTATTTTCTCAGCAATTGTTCTAATTAGCTCTCCTCCTCGACATGAATTTAAGCGTATTACTAGATTGGCAATTACGTTTCATCGTTTTACTGCTGAATTAGCAAGATGTAATCGTAAGGTCTGTTCTAATAGTTTATGTTCTCACACTTCTCGCCTGTGGATCTCTCCTCCGGTTTCTTGATTCGCTGAAATTTAACATTTAAATTCAACGTCAATCGCAAATTTCTGTCTTCCTGTATCCTGTTCTTTTATTGTCCTTTCTCATCACTAAAGTCTTCTCATTCTCTTTCATTCCCGGTAACCCCTTGCGTCTTAGTGGCATTATCGCAATCTTCTGTCTTCATGAAATCTGTTCTTTTATTGTCCTAAAGTCTTCTCATTCTCTTTCATTCTCCGTAACCTCTTGCATCTTAGTGGCATTATTGCATTACTCTGAGATTTCCAATTCTGATTTTTAAGACAGGTTCTCTCCACTTGGAGAATTAGATGGATACAGTCCTTTTACTTAATTTTCCTTGCGTCAGAATGAGCTTAGTGTCATATCTTTTGATAGGGTTACTTGTATGGTACTTCTTGGTACCAATATGCTTAGTTTGTGAAGCAGGTAACATTTCGCCACGTGTAGAATTGGCTCAACTTATTTTTATAACTCTCAATCAAGAGGTCAAAGTTAAAGCAAAAAAATACAACTTCCTGTTAGGAGGCCTACATTACAGTTTCAGATTTCCTACTGACGTTCGAACCCAAGAAAGGTGGTGAGATTCCGAACGCTGATTTTTCAGGTGAACAGGCACGCGTTTGTCTGACTAATACAGCGATATTTTCCTACCATAATTTTATTTTTGTGTGTGTGTGAGTTTGTGCATGCGTGCGTGCGTGCGTGTGTGTGTGTGTGTGTGTGTGTGTGTGTGTGTGTGTGTGTGTGTGTGTGTGTGAGTCAAACTAAATTTGGTTTAATTTTAAAGACGGTGTCTTGTGGTTGATATATTAAAGTGTATCAAATGTATTCTCGTTTTTTGTTGTTTTTTTTTTTGTTGTTGTTTTCTTTTATAGAACTTTTACTCCAAAGTTTAATTAATATAGACAACATCATAAGATATTATTATTATTATTATTATTATTATTATTATTATTATTATTATTTCCTTTGATTTCTGGTATGTACTCATTTCTTTCCGCGTCCCACCCAGAGACCTAAGGTCAGAAATGGCATCATGACATTTTCCACTCATTATTTTACATAGATAAAGCCCTTCGTAAAGTGTGGGATGTACTCATGAAAAATTTTTTTTGTATTTCTTTAAGTCATGGGCTACCAGGAATCCGTTCAATGAGTTTACTGGAATTTTTTCAAACAATCCGAGGGTTCCAACTACAACAGGGATTGTTGATGTTCCCATGTGCCACATTTTTGAGATTTTGGTTTCAATGTCCTTGTATTTTGATAACTTTTTAAAGATATTATTATTATTAGCAGCAGCAGCAACAGCATCATCATCATCATTATTATTATTATTATCATCAACATCGTCATTATTATTATTATCATTATTATTATTATCATCATTATTATTATTATCAGCATTATTATTATTATTATCATTATTATTATTATTAACAGCAGCAGCAGCATTATTATCATCATCATCATCATCATCATGGTTATTATTATCATTATCATCATTATTATTACCATTATTATTATTATTATTATTATCATCATCAACATCATTATTATTATTATTACTATTATTATTATTATTATTATCCTTTGATTTCTCTTGTAAACCCATTTCCTTCCGGGAAGGACAGAAATTGCATCATGGCATATGCCACTGTGCGTTTTATATTTTTTTTAAATGATCACACATATTTTACGTACTTAAAACCTTTCGTAAACGGTGAGCTGTCCTTGTGAGTACACTTGTCTGTATTCCTTTACGGTATTGGTTACCAGTAATTACTTCTATCACTTCTAAGGTTTTACGGAACCTTTTCTAATCAATCCGAGGACTACAACTGGAATGACTGATGCCTTCATGTGCCACATTTTGAGATTTCGATTTCAAGGTCCGTGTACTTTTTCGGAGATCTTCAAAGATACATTACAATCTGCAAGAACTGCCATGTCAATAATAAAGCACATTCTGTTCTTGTGGACTTTGATCACGATGTCTAAGCGATTAGCTTTGATTGTTCTTCTATGTCTGTATTGTAAAGTCCCATAAAATTGTTACCGGTCCTATCTCTATAACCGGGTTGGGGTGATGTTCATACCAGTTTCTTGCAGTTTCCTTCTGCCAGACGCAATGATGGAGAAAGCATTACCTCGCACCATCACCAGCAATAGCTACTCCATTTCGCGATGCTCGTCGCTTAATCGATACGCCCTCCCACCATTCCGCCAGCCCTTCAAACGAACGCCATCGAATGGAGACCAATAAACCTATAAGTCATCACTGTCACTGGAGTAAAAAAAATAAATCTGTCCGAAGGGAAAAAATATTTAACTATTTTTTAATCTCCATATCCTGTGCGACAGACCCCGGCCCAACCGCAGACCTGATCAAAATGCCGGTCGAGAATGTATCCGCACAGGTCGCATTCCAAATCAATGACTTCACCACTTTAAAAGAGAAAATGGTAATCCCATTCGGTCGCTATCCATCACCACGGCCGAGACCTACAAGTTCGATTTGGGAATGGAACCCAGCTGCATCCAGACCTCTTCCGATGTTGTCGTTTATTGCTACATGCCGTGGAAAGCGTCCGGCACAACGACGACAGGAGAGAGGATGCAAACCAAACTCATCGATGGAAGCTCCACATCTGCATCTGTGACGCTCACATAATTTGAGTCCAAGACGGATCGCGACTCCGACCCGAGTGCACTCATCATCTAGAAGGGTGCCGGTAGATGAAGAGGGCACTGCGTTGAGCCAGGCGCCACTACTCGATTGTGAAGCAGATAGTAGACAGGCGAGGGGATGCTTATCCAGAGAGAGCCTCAAATTAGTAAAACTGGCCTGGAATTTTATTTTATCCCAGCTTTTTTGTTTTGATGTGTCTACAGGAATAGAATGTAATTCTTGGGCCCAGACGCTGCAAGCATGTTCGAAAGAACTACCCGAGAAACACTGAGACGATCCCCCGAGTAACTCATCAATCACGACTGGAAGAAAGTGAAGATATGCTGGAAGGGCCAAGTCTGCCGCTGATCGAAGGCCCAGGCCTCCGAAACTAAAAGGGAGCGTTACCTCTCTCCAGCCTGTGTCATCGAAAGTAACGTTGAAAATTAACTCCGCGCATCTCTTAAATGTGATATGATCTCGTTTAAGAAGTCCTGTTCAAGGCAGCAAGAGACACTTCGCAGAGTGTAGAAGAGCCTCGCCCTCGAAAAACTCTTCTTCAAGATGAAGAGGACTGGGTGTTGCAATCTCTGTTATTCTTGTTAGAATGACATGTTTAGTATCCAAACATTCTCGAATAGCCATTGGAAAGACTGGAGAACCAAGAATGTGTAATTCCTCATTAGGTGTTTATATCCTCAAGGATGAGTTTGATACCCCGGATAGCACTCTCGAAATCATCTGCACTATAATTCAAGTTTAGTATTACGTTGGTGCAAAAATAATGTCGTTTTCTCACATATTTTACTTTTATATATGATTTCTGAATTAATTCATTGATATATATAGCCATGTTATATATCATTTTGAAGCGCGTTTTTCGTTCTATCGAATCGTGTTAGTCGTTACCGTTCTCAATCTCTTCATTCATTTTTTTGCAGGCTTTTCGACAGCATGGACAAAATTCAAATCCGCACGATTTTCTTGTTCCAGTTCAAACTAAGCCAAAAGCTGCCGAGACAGCTCGTGATATCAATGATGCGTTTGGCCCAGGAACCACTAACGAACGTGTGGCACAACGGTGGTTCAAGAAATTTCGCAATGGTGACGAGAGACTCGAAGATGAAGACGGTCGCGACCAGCCGACTGCGGTTGATAACGAATATTTGAAAGCCTTAATTGAAGCCGATCCTCGCAAAACCACACGAGAAGTTGCTGTTGAACTCGAGGTCGACCACTCAACAGTCGTTCGCCATTTAAAGCAAATAGGGAAGTCAAAAAAATTGGATAAATGGGTGCCGCATGAATTGAACGATAATAAAAAAAATCGTCGTTTTGAGGTGTCTTCTACGCTCCTTCTGCGCAACAGAAACGACCCATTTCTCGAGCGGATTGTGACGTGTGATGAGAAGTGGATCCTCTACGACAACCGGCGACGTTCGGCACAGTGGTTGGATGCCGGAGAAGCTCCACAACACTTCGCGAAGCCGAAATTGCACCAAAATAGTTTATGGTGACTGTTTGGTGGTCTGCGGCCGGTCTCATCCATCACAGCTTCTTGAATCCGGGCGAAACGATTACGGTGGAGAAGTACTGCCGACAAATTGACGAAATGCACCAGAAGCTCCAACGTATGTGCTCGAGATTGGTCAATATGAAGGGACCAATTCTCCTCCATGACAACGCTCGCCCGCATGTTGCTCAACTGACCCTGCAGAAGCTGAACGAATTGGGCTACGAGACTCTGCCTCACCCGCCATATTCACCAGACCTCTCGCCCACCGATTATCACTTTTTCAAGCATCTCGACAACTTCCTGCTCGAAAAATGCTTCAAAAGCCGAGATGATGCCGAATCGGCCTTCAATGACTTCATCGCTTCCAGAACTCCGGATTTCTATGCTAATGGGATAAATAAACTTGTTTCTCGTTGGCAAAAATGTGTCAATTCTAATGGTTCTTATTTCGATTAATAAAGTTTATTATGAAAGGAGTTATGATCTTTTGAAGTTGAACGTCAAAAAACGACATTATTTTTGCACCAACCTAATATCTCTGATTTGGACGAGTTAATCTCAAGTCCAAGTAGAGATAAAGCAGGAATAACTCGTCGGAGGTCAGCAGATACGGCCTCGATGGATCCTCCCAACGTTGCATACCATATATAGAAAGGAGAGGTGATGGGACGAGCTACCCCGTCAACAGTAATCGCAAATAGTAGCGGACCAAGTGGATCACCTTGCTGGATTCCGGTAGCAGAAGAGATATTATCGGAGGCGATCAACATACTTGGATGACTATACGAAAGATGAGCCAGTTAAAATATGGAAGGAGTCTGTTGATGGCAAACTTCCAGGTTATGATCACTTCTGATGCTATTGAAAGCGTTTTTCATATCCAATTTTAATAAGATACGTGAGGAAACAGGTGATGTATTCTCAAAAAATGATCTTGTCGCATGAAAGGCGGTTTCACATCCGCCCTATATGCCTACCCCGAGCTGGACAGGGCGCAATTCATGCCCTATCTCCTTCACAATTCTACATGCAATTTTTGCCTCGAGTCGACGAAAAATTTTACCAACAGCGATAGGGCGGATAACTCCATCTTTATTTTAAAGCCGTTAAGTTTGCTGAAAATATTAAGTCACAAGCATGCTGGGGTATCTCAGATCGGAGAAGGGTATTAATAAGAGCTGTTATGAATCTTTTCAAATGTTCAGCAGCTTCGGCAGTTTGGGCAGAAATTAAATCCTTGATGTGACCAGGTCGTAGGCCGTCCACACCTCCATTGCTGTTCCCCGAGAAAGACTACAGAGCGGCAATCATTGCTTTCTTTGAGATTTCAATATTTGAATCATTGTTTTTCCATCTGAACAAATCTGACATCTGATGGTGGCGCAGGATGTTTCCGACGGAGAGCTGTGAGAACTTCTTGTGTAATATCAGATGAGGTACTCTAACTGCAACTGAGATATCACCCTCGATCAAGTTAGCATTGACGAGGACACGAAGTCTCTTAGAATCGTCGACTGTAGATGAAGGATAAAATCTATTAGGATTAGAAAGATTAGAAAATTCGGTGGCATTTATTTTAAAATGTTATTTTTCATAATACATGATACAAGGGTCATTATAAGAAATGCCGAGTACAAGTGTTGCGAAAGAGAAAAGGTGATCCCAGTTATGCGAGCTTTTCAAGTTAAGTATATTGTCTATGGCAGTACATAAATATTTGTGTCTATATAAATAACATATAACAATAAAATATATTAAAATATATTAAATTAATTGTCGGACTTTGTCCATTTCGTGGTGATTGACGTCATATGTTTACGTTATGACACGCTTTGAGCAGATATGATCGTTCGAGGGAAATCATGGACAATTGTAGTTTAAAATCGAACTTGCTAACCAGAAGCTCCTCTATAGCTAAACTGGTATAGCACGTCAGGCTATATAACGGTTCCGTGTAGGATACAGGTTCGATTTTCAGTGAAATTTCCCGGAAGTGTGGCGGTGATCTCTGTGTGTGTAAAATTTTCAGATATATCTAAAGTATATATAGGTAAAAAGACAATATGAATGAAAAAAAAAGGAAAAATTTGTTTTATTTGCCTTGACGAAATGCGTCGGCTAAGATAAGTTATACTTTTGTTATTATTCACATTGTCTTTTTACCTACATTTTTAGTTATATCTGAGTTTTACACACACACACACACACACACACACACACACATATATATATATATATATATATATATATATATATATATATATATATATATATATATACACAGAAATATAGTTTTAAAAAGTGTGTTGTATTTATGGGATAAAGTGCTCAATATCAGAGATAGAGTGTATGTAAATATAAATATGAAAGTGAACATTGAAGTCAACACTCAGAGGCGATAGGCTGTTTCATGCTAGACGCAATCGTCTGAGTGTTGAATTTTTATATATATATATATATATATATATATATATAGTAAATAATTTTTAATGTACATATATATAAGGTCAAAAAATGATCTACTGATTTACTTAATATATATATATATATATATATATATATATATATATATATATATATATATATGGTTTTTAAAGACTGCTGATAAGGTAGTGTGATTTTATTATATCTAATTTAATTTCCTTATCTCCTTTAATGTCCTTATCATCATTAATTTCCTTATCCCCTTTAATTTGCTCATCTCTTTAACTTGCTTATCTCCTTTAATCTCCTTATCTCCCTTATTTTTTTTATCTCATTAATTTCTTTATCACTTAAATTACATAAGGAAATTAAAGAGATTAGGAAATAAAGAGATAAGGAAATTACAGGAGATAAGGAAATTAATTTAGATAAGGAAATTCAATTATATTTATCTCTTAAATTAGTTATTTTTTTTTCGATATGTTTTATCTTTTTCTTATCTACTTACAAATGCTTGACGTAAAAAATGTAAAATCTGTCCAAATATTTGTTGATTTCCATCGCTTTTATTTTTCATGCATTATCATTTTTGCGCATGAACAATTTTTACTTTATTTCAGTCTAGAAGAGAAGACATTTACATATATAAAAGAAAAACTTCAAAATAAACAAGAATGGCTTGTTGAACTTGTTCAACAAAACATGTATTAAACAGGAAAAGTTGCCCAAATACACAGCATATGCATATATATATATATATATATATATATATATATATATATATATATATATATATATATATATATATTAAAGACGACTGACAAGGTAGCGTGGTTTTATCATATCTAATTTAATTAAGTTATCTCCTTTACTTTCCTTATCTCTTTAATTTGCTTATCTCTTTAATTTCCTTATCTCCCTTAATACCTTATCTAATTTAATTTCCTTATGTCCTTTACTTTCATAATCTCCTTTAATCTCCTTATCTCCCTTAATTTCTTCATCTCTTTTAATTTCTTTATCACTTAAATTACATAAGGAAATTAAAGACATAAGGAAATTAAAGAGATAAGGAAATTAATTTAGACAAGGAAATTAAATTAGACTTATCTCTTTAATTAGTTATTTTGTTTCGATATGTTTTATCTTTTTCTTATCTACATACAAATGTCTTTGCTTGACGTAAAAAAATGTAAAATTTGTCTAAATATTTGTTGATTTCCAGCGCTTTTTCCCTACATTATTATTTTGGGGCGTGAACAATTTTTACATTCTTTAAGTCTAGAAGAGAAGAAAAAAAAGTGCTTTGTTACACTTGTTCAACGAAACATGTATTAAAGAAGAATTGTTGCCCATATGCACAGCTATATATATATATATATATATATATATTGTCAAATTTTCTTACTTACACAGCGGCCCTTTCAGTAAATGCCCTTCAGTTTTAGATTCCCCCGCCCCATCTCTCTCCCACTCCTTTTTCTTTTCTTTTCCTCTCCCTCCCTCTTCTTCTGATCTTTAAGATTAGATCGTCTATTGTGTGTGTATGTCACCACAAAATGGATCCTTTTCGGTTACATCTTTAATGTATAAAACATCCGACAACATTCATATTTCTCTCACTTAAACCGTCTTTGACTCACCTCTCTATAACTTCTCTCTGTTAAATTTTAATCTCCCACCTTCTCTCGTCTGTTACCCCTCTCTTTAGCTCTAACATTAATCCCACACTCTCATACTTACACTCTCTCTAAATTCTATTTTTAATTCCGGAGTTGTTATTTCTGTTTTCTTTTTGAATTTGTAGGTTGTAGGTATTTACGATTCTAATGGAATAAATTATGACCATGGAATATTAGTATTTAAGCCTTTTTATTATATCCTTACTCTGTCCTGGACATTGAGTTCTATCTGGATTCTATTCTCTTGGAATTTTTTATTCAAAAAATATATATGTATGTGTATGCATCTATGTATATATAATTATATATTTTGCTTATGTATGTGTATATTTACCACTAATATTATATATATATATATATATATATAATATGATATAATATTTATATATTTAAGACATTTTTATGTGTATACTTTATTTTTTATAGATAAAAATGTCTTAAATATTTTCAGAATCTGTCCATTTTTATATATATATATATATATATATATATATATATATATATATATATATATATATATATGGTTATTAATGACGACTGATAATGTAGTGTGATTAAGCTTTTTATTTAATTTCTCTTGTGTTCGTACAAGTGTTTTTTTTGGGACATAAAATATTTTAAAAATTGTCGAAAAGTTTGGTATATCCGAGTGCTTTCAGTTATTCTTTTAGCCTATATGAAGGGCGATTTGGCCACCTCGAAGCGGTGTAATGGTTACCAAGCTTGTCTCGCTAGAACAATTACGACTGATTAGTGAGTTCACTGGGTGCCCCCTACATTCAGCCTTGTGCCACATCTACGCTACGCTTGGAATATCACTATACCAAGGGCAATTTATGACTAAATATGTGCTTTTTATGCATGCATCTAAAGCAATAGGAATGTTTTATTTTCCGAACACGGTTAGTACATTGTTCCCGTGTTCGTAATTAATGCTACTGAGTGTTGGCTAATAACATAAACTATGGACGCGGCCAAAATTAAAAATTCCTTTAATTTTAGAAGCATACATAATAAACACATATTTAGTTAAAAATAAAAATCGCCCTTTATAATGGTTAAAAGAATAGCCGAAAGCGCTCGGAAAGGCAGGACTTTTTGACAGTTTTTACACACTTTGTGTCCGGAAAAGAAAAAAATTGCACTAACACAAATAAAAAACAGTATCTTCTCAGTCGTGTTTAACGAAACATGTATAAAAAAGTGATGGCTGCCTAAATACACAATATATATATATATATATATATATATATATATATATATATATATATATATATATATATATATATATGAGTGTGTGCGAATTTGTTAACAATCCCTCTTTAATGTGTGTGTGACACTTCCTACCTTTCTCTTCCTCATAATTTCTAATTAATCTTCATTACTCTTCTTTCCTTCGCTAAAACTTACTCTTCCTTCCCTCTCCTCCTTTTCCTTTCCTTATCTCACCCTCTAATCTTTGTTACGCTTCTCTTCACAACTCCCACTTCTCCTCAACCTCGTTTTCATTACTCTCTATTTAATCTTTCCTACTTTCCCCTTCACTTCAATTTTCTCTTCCTCTCCCCTCCTTTTCTTTTTCTCACACTCTTCTTACTCTTCTCTTTACTACAAGTTCCTCTTCCCGTTCCGCTCCTCCCTTTTCCTCACTCTCTATTTAATCT